GCAGTGGGCTGTCTGACCAGAGCGCTTACCCAAACCTAAAATCTCAAAACTAAACCTAAAAGAAACCAAGCAGCCAAACAAAGACCCTACCCACCATATCAAAGACAAAGAAGTAAGCAAACAACAGAAAAACAGGTCAATAGCCACAGAGGCAACTGCTGCCAGGAGGAAGACGAGCACATTGCAGCAGAGTCCCACCCACTTTTTGAAGAGCTGTCCATCAACAGACAAATCTAGTACACCTGAGGTCAAACAGCAGAACACACATTAGGGAAAAAACCCACACACCAGGCTGAGGGGCAGAGGAAGCATACCTACAGTAACAAAGAAGCAGTTATGTTCCTGATCTAGGAGAACCTAGACAAAATATGTGACTCCCCTCCTCTTCCTACTCCCAAGAATGCGCAGCAGCAAGGGGTGATTCATAGTTGCAGTTCATTAAAATTGATCATATAAAAGAAAAGGGCCTTTCACTCTTGCCAGTCCTGCACAAAATGTGCTCTAAATACTGTAGACACAGTGGGCTATACAGCAGTTTCTTGTGCCAAGCTGCTGTAAATGGCACACATCTGACCAGTTCCTCGTGTTTATCAGAACTGTTAAAACAACGTTAAACAAACCCATTGTGCAACCTCAGAAATTATTACACTGCTTGCTAATTCACATAGCAATCAATAGGATGCCATGGTTGGGAGTGGCAGAGAGGGGAGAGCTGCTGTTAGCTGGGGCCTCAAATGAAGCAATGTCATCAGCTTGTTCAGTCTGTGATCCCTTCAATGGGCGCCACCTGTTGCTCATCATGTATACACTAAGCACAAGGGGAGAAGAGATCGAGGCCAACACAGTATTGATCCAGGGGAATAACACTCATCACAAATGAAAGCGTTACTCCCACACTTTAAAATCTTCTTCACTGTCAAATGAGAAGATTGTAGTGTCATTTACAGTATGTGTGTCTATAACATAATTAAGGTTTGTGTTCAGTAGTATTGACTATATCTAGTCTGCTTCTTGAATGTAAATCCTTACAGTAAATCCTGGATCTAAATAACTTTAACTTTTGATATTTGTATCTAAACCTATAGGAAACAAAAACTCATATGCATTCACTTTTTCAGAGGAAGAAGAAATATTGCAGTTTTAGTAGTAGCCTGTTTATTGTTCACAACCCTGTAAACTTGACAGTGAGATGAACAGAGCATAATAAAAATGCTGCTTAAATATGATGACATATTGAAAATGACAGGTTTACACCTATACTTTCATAGAAGCAACTTGATCCAACAAGCATAGTGGTAGTCCTGTTTCAGAGTTATGAAGTCAGTAAGTTTAAAATAGTAAGGGTAGTATATCATTCAATGTACTCCAGCTTCCAAATCACTTTTTTTCTGTTCTTCATGTCATTGCATGTCAGTATTTGTGTACATATTTAGCTTTTTAAATGTCTTACTTTTTATTTCAAAACAATGAGGAGGAAAAGGTTTGTCCGGTGACTGACCTTTACAGTTCTGGGTAATTTTCCAACCACTCAGCTATTCCCAACACTAGATCACACAACCAACTTGCATGTACAAATACAGGGAACAGGAGGAAAGTAATACCCTAGCACTTTGAAAAATGTTTAAAAAAAAAAAACTACAAAACCATTTCTACCCTATCAGACATCCATCCATTATCTATACCTCTTATTCCTGAATAGGGTCACAGGGGGGTCAATCCCAGCTGACACTGGGCGAGAGGTGGGGTACACCCTGTACACCCAGTCTATCACAGGGCTGACATGTAGACAAACACACACACTCAATTTAGAGTTGCCAATCAATCTAAGCTGCATGTCTTTAGACTGTGGGAGGAAGCTGGAGTAAGTCCACACAAGCACAGGGAGAACATGCAAACTCCACACAGAGAGGCACCAATTTGGCCTGGGCTCGAACCTGGAACCTTCTTGCTGTGACACTAACCACTGTTTCACTGTGCCACCCATACAAGACACATTAGCTAAATAATTTGGATTTATTGGTAGGTGTACTCTTATTGACACAGCCAAACCAGCCATCTCCCCCTTTGTACCAAGCACAGCTAAACATGTCCCAGACCTTTCCGGCAGTCTCTGACACACAAACATGGCATCACTATGAGCTCATGGGTCTTGGATCTAACTTGATTGGTGAAATATGGGTTAATTGATTTTTAGGGCTTGCTATGCTTTAATCTATGGATTGTGATTTACTGGAGAAGTACCATGCTGTTATCTGGGCTGGTAGCTGCTCTTTAGGTGGATCTTTTTAGGCTAACTATATTTTGGATTAGGTCACCCTCCCCTTTGGAGCAAACGCCCTGGCTTATCAGCCCAGTAACAGCAGGACTAATTTGTACAGAAGTCGAAATAAACCAGTTTAAAGCAAAAAGCACTTTCTCCAACTACCTTACTTCCCCACACTCTGTGGTGACCCCTAAACGGCAAAAGCTGAAAGTGACTTACTATCAACTTCAGAAAAAGATGATTTGGACTTTTCATGGATATAAAGTAGAAAAAGAAGTAATAGGATTAATGGGAAATGTTGTCTTAAGGTTTCACAGTAACACTAAGCACTGCTAGAGTAAAATCACCTATGTATCTGTCTGGGATCAGTTTCAGAGCTTGGACCATGACGACCTCTAAAACAAGTGTGTGTCTAATAATATTTTGTTAATGGAAAGATGAAAGTAGCTGCCTCCCCAAGGCCATTACGCTTTGTAGTCAACTTTCACGTCACTATTTCTCACTCATGGACCTCTTTCAGTCGGGCTTGGTTTTTTTTTTTTGAAGAGATGCTAATATTTTGCTTAATTTCAGATGAACTAAAGGACTACCTGCTCGGAGAGCGTGGCATTAATAAGATCTTCACCCTGGGCAACAGTGAGTTCCCTGTTAGCTGGGAGAATGAAATCAAATTGTGGACTTTCCTGGAAACCCGAGCTGCTCTTCTGCTCAAGACCTACAAGACCACCTCAGAGGTTAGTCAGCTGGAATTCAATTTATGTTGGAAGTTGTAATGTATAGGGTTTCTGATTGCAGATTGGTTTGATGGTCTTAAGGTTCCTTTAAGCCCTAAGGAGCTAGTTTTCTTGAAGAGTACAAACACGCCTAAAGCTGAAAGTGTTTATATCAGTTCTGAAAGTTTAAAATATTGTCACACCATCTGGGCCTGGTGCCTTTGTGATCTTTTGGCTCTTAAAGAGGCCATGCACATCTTGTCAAATACCAGAGACCAGTACTGTACATCATGGATTCATCAGATCTGTAGTGTGTTGTTCTAAAGCTGACTCTGAGCATCATTTCCCACATGTATACATTTACTGTAGCAGCAGGGTTGGCAATTTCCTGTCCGCGAGGGCCGCTGTCCTGCTTGTTTTCCAACTATCCCTGCCTGACCTGCTGCTGATTACCTGGCTCAGGTGTGTTCAGCCAGTCAGAAGCTGGAAGATACCAATTCACTTTATCTTTCCTCACTCCACTTTCATCTAAGATGGTGTCTTCCAGCTTCTGACTGGCTGAACACACCTGAGCCAGGTAATCAGCAGCAGGTCAGGCAGGGATAGTTGGAAAACAAGCAGGACAGCGGCCCTCGAGGACTGGAATTGGCCACCCCTGCTCACCATAAGTTGAAAAAAAAAAAGCGGTGACACTTTAGATAGATTCTGTAAGGCACTGATCATAGCTCATGTTGTGATTCTTTGCCCTGATGGAATATTTCTATTATAGTTGTATCATATTGAAGATGATGCATATATTTCTGAATGAGAATGTGCAGAGTGTAAGACTTGTAAATTTAAAAACTGAACTAAATATAGGCTGCACAGGATCTTAACATTTCAGTTAATGTTTGAATTTACTTCATTAAATAAATCAGTCAAACGTTATTGCCAAGTATGTTAAAATAAAAGGAATACTTTCACATTGACATACAATATCATCATTAATTATTTTTAGGAAGATTTTTAAATGTCTTCTGTAAACTTCAACTGCTAATCACTAAAATCATTATTACTTGGTCAATCAGGGATCTATAAACAAACTTGCGCCTTATCTGTACTTATGGGTACTTTGTCCCCATCAGGTTACCACTGAGTAAATTAAATTATTCTAACAATCTGGTTCTGTCACCGATGCTGTTTTTAAAAATGAGTGTGCATTATCACACACATTATTATTTGTAGATCCACCAGATTAAAATTGAGGTTCTGCTCTTTATTTACCTGTTTCCATGGTGAACTGAAGTGGCGGAGCTCCGTTGATGAAGGCTTTTTTTATGGTCATCATCACACACATGCTCACCCTCAGAGTGAACATACTCAGAGGTGATTGAACTGTTTTGTAGAATCTGATCATCTACTGTGGAGCCAAAAGCTCATGAGATTCTCATCTCAACGTTACTCAGCTCAGAGTTCAGGGTTAACTTCAGTGTTTCAGGTTCAGGATGGAAACATTTTTCAAAGGTACTGCCCTTGTGCAGAATGCAAGAGAAAACTGGAAGAACAGCTTTAACACTCTGCCACCATGACATACTGTACATGTAGTCTTGCTGCACATCAGGGCCTATAGACATAACTGTTAAACCATGTTGACTGTAACCATGTCAAATTGTTGTTGCAAAGAAAACCAATTGTCATTTATTTAGGATTCAGTTGTTAACTGGCCATGTCTTTTTGAAATTCAAATGAATAGATACTCTGAAATTTTCCAGGAAACAATGTGCACATCCACTGGTACTCAAAATAAAGTGTGTTGAGGTCTAACAAATATTTTCATTACGTTTCCTTTCTTATTAGTGGTATTACTTGTATATATTGATCAGTATAGAAAATATGTTGTGATAATATGTTTAACCATATCACCCATCAATTTGTGCTGCCACTTTTTTTTGCCTGCTTCTTACAACCTCTTTTCATCTTTTATTTTGGCCTGGCCTCTTCCAGGAGGACCTCTCCTTACTGGAGAAACCCGATCTATCTCTGCACGCTCGTGTGGCTATCCAGCTCCGCCTGGCTGAGAAGCAGATCCTGGAGAAGGCTTGGGCCAGCGGACTGGCCAAACGTCTGAACTACCAGAAGAAGTTAGAGGAGGGGGCTCCGTTGCCTCACTACGAGGAAAGCGATATTGCTTTGCTTGAGAATGCCAATGCAGATGCAAAGCTCCCTATTATCTTGCGCAAGTTGGAGGAGGTGGAGGAAGGCCAAGGGACCCAGGTGGAGGAGCTGAATGAGGGGAAGATGATGTACAGGCTGGATATGGAGGCTAATGAAGAGCCAGTGCAGGGTGAGACTCAGGAGAAGGTTGGCAAAGATGTTCATTCAGCTTTGGACTCAGTTGGAAGTTCAAACCAGGTGGGCCAAAGGGAAGTGGCCGACCAAAGTGCCAGTCGAACTGAAGAGAATCCCAAAGAGAACAGTGAATAGTATATTCCACGTACTGCCTCAGCCCATGCTGTTTATTTATTTTTGTGTCTCTTAAATGACTCAGAAATATAGAAGCTGGAAAAGCAAAATAAATAGAAAGTTGCAGAGGTTTTAGACTGTATGTTCATCCAGTGTGGCTTTTCTTAGTTGTCCACTGCTGAACTTGTTTAGTGTGTGTCAGCCTTCTGTGCAGAACAGGATCAGATTAAAATGGGCTTCTGTTTAAGTATGGAGTGTAGGTTTTTATTGAAACAATTCGAGGCCCACAGAATACTAAGAGTGGGGGTGGGGCAGCCAGTCCTGGTCTCAGCAGATACTGTAGGCGTGTGAAGAGGAAGAAAAATAAACAAAATGGAGTTTAGGTGAATGTTGTTTCCACAAAGCTAAAATCTCTGCAATCTTGTGAATTGGTTGCTTTATTACTGCAATTTGTCTCCATATGTGTCCAGTATGTTTTGAGTTGACAATCGTTTAGAGAATTTTGGAGAGTGCTGCTATGTTAAGTTCAACACTGCCGACTGTACCCTCTTTTTGTTTAGTTTAGTTTTTTGTTAAAATAATTTCCAACAAACTAGAAGGAAATGTAAAATGTTACTTTATTTGGTCTGTGAAATGAGTACTTGCTTTATACTGATGGTACCTGTCATGGTTCACTATGAGTAGGCCAAACTATGATGATGCTTTTTGCTTTCTCATTGTACATTTTCAGTCATTACAAAGATGCAGCCCTTATTAAGAGACTAAGTTTTATTTTGTGGTAAAAGCATCTTTATGAATGTAGTCAGTTTATGTTGCAGTGAGTAACTAAAAGGGAGTGATGACTGACCCAGTGATTACTGTTGTTACCCCTGAGAAAGCCATATACAGCACTGAGGACTCTGAGACAGAGGATGATGTTTAAGTGACTGCTGGGAGATTTTTGTTTGACCGCCTTAAAATTAGGCAATTTCAACATGACACTTTTGTATGAAAAACTAGAAAGCACTGTTCACTGTCATTATTTAGTGTAAACTGTAGGGGTGGCTCCAAAAACTGGTGGAAGGAAACATTTGGCTGCAAATTATCCATATGAATGGTAATTATTTTTATCAATTATAACATTTGACCTTAGTGTAGAGTCTGTTGGTCATGAGGGCGTCCATTTTACCTCTTTTATCAAAACCACTTAGGTAGAGCCAATACATCTTTGGTATCGGATGTCCTAGATCTTTCTCCAAATGTCCACTGATGCCATGACTTTGGCCTGTTCAAGTCCAATGCCATGAACCAGGTGTCAGCGTACAAACACATCTGACACCAAATCTGTGAACAGAAACTGAGGTTACTAACTCCCAGCCATGTGTGGCCACTTGTTACTGTACCACACACTGGAAATCCATTATGTACTATACTGTAGGTCACATGATGATGGTGTAAACCAGCAGTAGGAATAGGAGCAATTTCCAGGTGCAGGTGAAGACTGTGGCATGTGTTTGAAAACCTCAGGAAGTGCACCCTTAGTTTATTTTGACAAACTGCTGTTTCCAAAAGATTGAACTGTCCCAAAAGAATCAAGATGTTACCCTGTAGCTTACATCAGTCTGATCCATACATAAAACATAAAAGCACCAGTCAAACAGACCAGGAATACCATGGGCCATCATAATCTTTTATTTCCATGTAGTGGGGATAAATCAGCCTTGTTGTCCACTCTCTGTACAGTGAAGCAGGTGGGTAACAGTGTTACAATGAAGATAAGAGCTGTCTTTTGAGACTCGGAGCAAACCTGCCGCACACGTTTACTCTGACAGATGAAAGTTTCTGTAGTCTAGTGTAAAAATGCACCATGCACTATTGCTGTTCATAAATGGAACCAAATCCAGTGGAAGGTGCTTTAAACCAGGACTCACCAGTTAAATGTGAGCTCCTCTATACTGTATCATTCTAAACTTTTAAACACTTCTATTTTTCAGACTCTTACAGTTATGATTAAAGTGACAATATTTCAGTGGCCACCCTTTTAGCCTTGAGCTGCTGCCACTTTCAAAGCTCAGCCTTTCCTGACTCTCAGATTTTATGCCTGCGTCCTGTTAGGCTGTCTTCCAGCACTGGTTTTGTTGTGGCCTGTTTGTACTCTCCTTCATTTTGTTCATGCATGTGTCACAAATATTAAACAGTGAAGTGAGCTTGATGACAAAGATGATAAAGAGCCTGTTCTCCATGATCCGTTACCTTCATCAGCACAAGTGGTCATTTCCTGCACTTGATACATTGAACAGAAGGGAATAAACATTGCAGATTTGGCAGAATTCATTTCAACGCAGCTTTAATTGCAGCAAAATCATTTAAAATATCTAATAGAGAATTATTTTTGCATCATGCTGTGAGTGGTTGTGTAAGCCTGGAATGTGAAGAGATTTCTCTTTGTTTTTATTTTTGATAATTAATCACAATAACGGTTAAATAAAACAAAGAATTAATCTTCAAACATTGCTGTGTTCAGATGTCATCATTTAGATATTACATCTGCTGACTCAGTGTGGCCTTTGAGTTTTAACTTATTTATGATTAACATCATGTGATGTTAGTTTTAGTTTATCATTTTGAGAAAAATGCTCTTATTAACTGTGTTCTGGAGAGTGAGATACTGATCTCAGTCTCATGTCCATGTGTTTAAGTAGGGAGCTGGAGTCAGAAAGCAGTTAGCCTAGCTTAACATAAAGCTTGAACAAGCAGGGGAAGCAGCTAATCTGCTTCTCAAGTTCATATCTGCACCTACAAACACACCGTCAACGCACTAAGAAAGGCTGCGACACACTTAACCCCATATTCTGCTACATAAATATTAAAATATTGAAAAAACTAAAAGAGTCTTTGTAGTACCATGCCATCCGACTAATAGCAAATGGTTACATTTCAAGGAAAGTGAAATCAGATTTTTTTTTTCCCCACAATTTTGTTGACAGTTGTTTAGCACTAATTGTCATAGCTCTAATTTCTACACAAGAAGAATGGTAGATAGATAGATGGTAAATAAAAATATTTGCCAAAATGTCAAACTGTTTCCTTTAGTGGACAGCCTGACCTGCCCTGCTAAAAATGACTGCTGATTTATTCAGAAAAATTGAAATAGACTTCCAGCTGTCCCTGTTCTCTCTGCATACTTGATCCTAGTTAATATTTGTTTTCAGAGATGGAAATAAAACTACATATGTAATTGTTTTGTAACCTTTAACTAAACATACAGTCTTTCAGCTTGCTTCAAACTGATACAAACATACATTGCAATTTATCAGCCTCCTGAAATGTAGTTGGGGCGCTCTTTGTTAACTGGTCGAGTTACAAAGATTTAGTGAACCTTGCTATGTTAGCTAACAGGTGGTTGATGGTGGTGTGACATGAAAGCAGAGTGATCCCTGACATCATGTTCTCCACATGGTATGCATTAAACTGACCAGCAGCAGGTTGTGTTCACTTGAAGTCAGATATTTATGACCTCTCTGTACTTCATGACGCTCTTGCTTTGTATCACGTTTGTGTGTTTTTTTATGTCTTTCTGTAGCTCCAGCACTTTTCTCTGCAATCATGTACCTTTACCATTCATATTGACATTCAGTCTGTTAGCTGCTTTAATGAAGATGTTGTTCCCGGTACTTTTTACCATACTGACTCTGAGAGACGAGGCAGTCCAAGTAACTACAAAACAGTGCTGATTTATTCCATGAACACAGGTAAAATTAACATTACACGCTCAGGTATCTTGCACCTCCAAACTGCACGCAGGCAGATGAAAGACCCTGAACCCACCAGGCCTATACATTATATCCCCTCGGTTGGGCTAGCCCCATACTACCCAGAAACGTCAACCGAGACGTCTCTGTTACCAGCTTTGCAGCTGGTCATAGCAGTAGTCAAAACATGAAGTAAATCAATGTGTGTGTGTCTGTTGATTAAGTGGTGTGTAACTAAAAACATTCTCACAGACTTCTAGTACATGTCGTGACTTAAACATAAGAACATATTATGGCTAAGGCTACAGTTATACACGTCATCATAATAATATTAAACACCCTGTCTGCTGACAGTCATCAGCTCTTCTCTCTAGTTATCCTTGACCAGATGTACCCTGTAGAAACTCATAAGCATGACTAAGCATTTAACAGTCTAACTAGACATCCTATCTCCACTAAACATTTCTAATACATAAAGTATCTAACCAATATGTATCTGACTAAAAATACCTAACAAAGACCTATATATGTGTATGTGTGTGTGTGTGTGTGTGTGTGTGTGGGGGGGGGGTGTATATACACGTGTGCACCTAGCTTTAACCTCAGTCAGTATGTTGCTATACTGTACAGCCGACTCCTCGCCATCACACTGTATGGATTAATTGTGGGTCTCTGGGTGTAAACAGACCTGGACTGCACAGGAACAACTAGAGCTGATAAGGAAAGATGTCAACATCTAAAAGTCAGAGATTAAACTTGGTCTCTTTTCTTAGCTCGTTGTGTGTGTCATCTTGTTCTTACACAGTCTGTCTTTGGATGAGGCCGTCTTCTCCTCCAGGGGCACCAGGTCACCACCCATCTATTGTTCATCTCCTCTGCTCGGTGGGTGGAAAAAATAGGTTTATTTCATGTAGTTTTCGCCTCTTTGCCCCCTGGCCCTATTACAAATTTATAAAAGAAACATTATCTTCAATAATTTAATTCGGGGCTATTCAATTTTGAAATGGCCCATCCATAATTCATTTTATTTAATTTAATCTATGAATTTATTATTGTAATGGGCACTGGGGTGGGCAGCGGAGAGCGAGGTATGTCCAGTATTGTTAGTTCTCGTTGTGTCAGTGCTTGGAGCAGCACTGGGACCAGCACTCCCACCTAATCCTGCCCTATTAATTATAAACTGCCATCCGTATTAATATACAATGGCAGCACAGCCGGGCCTGTCTCACCATGGGACAGCACCATTGTCGTTCTTGTGTTTACTGGTGTCATGCTCATGGATAGTGAACATGGAACTGAAGGTGATGGTTTATTGTTGTAAAGCTCTTTGCCAGCTGCCACTGCACTGTATTAAAACTAACCTTTGCAAATACTGTCTCGGTATTATTTAGGTTATTGAGGTGCACCACATCAACAATAGCATACTATGTTGTAGTCACACTGTAAATGTTTTCAACTTTCCATGAAGTATAACCTGATCTGGAACAGTAAAGGGATGTATTTACTGCTTTATTGCACTATGGACAAGAAGTATGTCCAGGAGATACTGAGAAAGCTGATAATATAATTAAATATAGCCATGCAACTGTTTCAGAAACGTATCCAATATACAGTATGTATCTACGATAGAGCAGTATTGAAGCCATTGTCAGAGTCGAGGTGAATGCTAAAAAACATTTGCAATTTTCAGGGAAAAGTCACATTTTTACCAAGTAAAGCAGTAACTTTTTAGAAAGGTTTAATACTTTATTTTGAGAAAAGTGTGTAACATTACTACAAAATTGATAATATGAAAATATTTGCATCAGAAGTTTTAATATTAAGAAGATAAAGGCAGAATATTGTGAGAAAAAAACTATTACAAAAAACTTACAATTTGATGAGAGCATGACATAGAGAATACACTCATAACAAGAAATAAGTCAAAAACAAAATGTCATTTGTATTTAGACTGTGTAGATTAGATTACATGTACTTGCTGGGTTGTGCTGTCATCAGCTGCTCCAACAACAAACTCTTGGGGAAAAAATGGAAATAAAAACTGAGGTTTGATCCACAAACTCAATTTTATTTGGACTTCTCTATTTTAAAGGCTCATTCTCACATAAACCAAGTCTCTAGATCTGCCTTCTTTCACCTGCGCAATATTGCGAAAATCAGGAGCATCCTGTCTCAAAGTGATGCTGAAAAGCTGGTCCATGCATTTGTTACTTCCAGGCTGGACTACTGTAACTCTTTACTATCAGGATGTCCCAATAATTCCCTAAAAAGCCTCCAGTTAATCCAAAATGCTGCAGCCAGAGTACTGACAGGAACTAGCAAGAGAGATCATATCTCTCCCATATTAGCTTCTCTCCACTGGCTCCCTGTAAAATTCAGAATAGAATTTAAAATCCTTCTCCTAACATACAAAGCCCTTAATGACAAGGCTCCATCGTATCTTAAAGACCTC